GATCTCGAATTTCAGGAGGAACTCGACGTTTAAGTTGGTCAAGCACCATCAAATCTAGCAACTGATCAAAAGTCTTAACTCCTAGACCAGTCACCCATTCTTTGCAATAATTTTCTATTTCATAATTGAAATCCACCCATGTGGATTCGGTACTCTTTTGATGTTTCATAAATTTCTGCCTAAACTTTTCCGGGCTTAGTTTAAACCGTCTTAACAATAAATTTTTCACGTGTTCATAGTCTTTAGCTTTATCGGAGGGTTCTCTAGCTATTAACTGGGTTACTTCGTAAGGAAGTAGTCCTAGTAAATGAGATACAAATTCTTCTTTATCAATTTTAGCCCATTCTGCTTGCCTTTCAAACAATAGCAAATATAGACTGATATCTCCTTTCTTGTCATCGGATTTCTGCATAAGGTGACGCAGCTTAAAATTATCTACCTTTTTTGAGAAACTTTATGTTTGGAAATGCATGTTTGGCCAGTATTTAAGAATGTAAACCTATGGAAAGCCATAGAATAAAATTGTGAAATGTTGAAAGAGCATTCTGCAGCCAGAGATAAGCAAAAAATTGCTTTGTGTGTTATGAACATGTGACAGGAAATGCAAGTTTATGAATTACAGAGCCCTGAAAATTCCAGTAGCCTGGAGCCTTCATTGTGGAGGTACTCTGCACCTTTTACCTGTGAGTATCCTCTGACGAACTCCAGCATCATTTAAATATCCAGATATACTATTTTGCAAATTCCAGTTGCATATAAAGCATGCTGCCCAACGGATCTGCAACATTCTTCCAGGACTGGCACTAGGCTTATTGCTGCCCAGTACATGCCTACATTCTATACTCTCCCCCCGATTGGCATTTGGCAGTTTTATTTTGGAATACTCTACATATGAAGCTAACCTTCGTATCTGCTTATAAATTAACCTTACAACTACATGTTGAGCATATTGTAATTTGTAAATTCTGCTTTTATTTTTTTAAATTTTTTTATTATATCTGTAGCTTTTTTTAAATTCTGTCTTTGGCCACAAAATTATCACAGCATATGGCAACTTCATTCTGGTTTTTCTTATTGACATTTCTCATATTATAGATAAAACCAGTGTGGTAAAATGAAAGTTGGCGTTTCCTTTCAGCAAATTATAAAAATTAGTTTTATTAGGTGGTGCAGTAAAAAATCTTGGTCAATTAATATTTGTTTAGCTTTTTCTAATTAATTCGTCTATCAGTTTTCGTAACTGCATCTATACCACTCTGTCAGAATTTGGGAATTACATGTTGCAATCATCTATCACTTTTTCAAACAAGACTGGCATTTTATGAAATTTATTACCAGTTGTCCTACCCTAATTTATTACCAGTTCCTAAAACTAGAGTGAAAAGCCCATAGGTAGGGCTTTTCACTCTAGTTTTAGGAATGAAAGAGGGATTTAAAGCACTACGACTCTGGTGCTTCTTACCAGCATAAGTCCAAACATGGAACAGCTATGCAAGTTTCGACAGGTTCCTCCATCTTATTAATGTAAGTACCAACATTTATTTACTTTTTAGCTAATGAGGTAAAAACTTTCCAAACTTAAATACCTTTAAATTAGTAAAAGCAAATATAAATTTGCTTTTATTAACTATAGTATATATAATTGAACCAAAGCCTCAGAGAAATAATTTTTACTTTTATCTCTATTCTGATAGACTATGCAGTATGTTAAGAAAACTTGTGGAAAGAAATTTTTTTTTTTTTTTTGGCATTATATATTGTTAAATAATCCATGATACTAATTGAGAAACACATCCTTGCAAATATTGATCAGTCTGTTTTTCTAAAGGAAAATTTCTTTAAAATTAAGTGAAAAATTTCTTTAAATTTATATTTACCATACGTTTTAATGTCATCCTATAATTATTTATTTCTGATTAACATGCAATATGATTTAAAAATGATAAGTAAGTTAAATAATTATCAATAACTGCCACTTAAAAAGAAAGTTTTGATCACAGAGCATATTAAAAAAAATCATGATGTGATCCAATTTAGATATTCTGACATTTTGAGGAATCAACATGTAATCCTGAGCCTGAATTTTGTGCCTGTATATGTCCCACACCAAAGGGAAAGCAACAACCGTGTTTATTATATGACAAAACATTTCTGCTTTTTCCCAATTTTTGTTAATAAGCTTCTTTCCCTTAAAAGCAATCTCTATGAATAGGTTTGATTAGGTTATTTGAATATGGCAAAGTTTGGGAGAGCTATCTACCAAAGGGAGAATGCCTTCAGGGAGGACTTTTTGATAGAATCTGGCTGGTATCCTCACATAATTTGATGCAAGTTTGGATCCCACCAAAACAGATGGCTATTGTGGTACTTTCATGATTTATGTCATGTGGAGGATAAATGGAAGTCGTTTAGAAAATTCTCTGTCCTCTTAGAAGCCTTTATGTGATTTGTAATATTCAAATGAATACATTTAATTGATAAGAGTATTGCTGATCCATTTGATCAACTGTGCATTCAATAATTTTTATATTATTTCATTTTTTAAAATTAGTTCTCTGTTATAGATAAAATTGTAGTAAATCTCTGTAAAGCTTGAAGAATGATATGTAGCTTGAAATCTGAAGGAGCACCACTTTAAGTAGTTTTTTAATTAAAAAACAGTCTTTGAGGTTTATTTTAATTAACACATTATTTTAATATTTTTCTTTCCTGTTACTTATGTTTCTTCCACCATTGTGACCAAAATGTACATCAGATATAATTTAAATTGTGAACAAAAGAGTTTGGCAGTGCTCCACAAAAGCTGTTTGTATTGTGAATCTGTTAACTGTAATCCAAGCTTGTTTGGTGAATGTTTTCTGGCATTTTGCTTCTGAAAACAAAAAAGAAACATGCCTGAGTGAAAGCAACACCTTGTGTTGGGCGTAAGTTTAGTCAAGAAAATCCAGTTCACCTACTGAAGAAGCTTTCTGCGTAATTTTTGCTGACTCAAAGTCAAAATTTTATCAAATTTCCAATGATGATTTACTTCCAACTGTGATTTGGTGGTAATAAAGAATCTTTATCCCCTTTTTTATCTATTATAAATTCAGTATCCAACCATCCAGTTTGCTTTTGAAACTGAATCTGAAAAACACCCTTCCCTTCCATGATTTTCCTATAATTTGCAATGAATCTGATTTCAGCACTATTTGTTTACTGCCCATGCTATGTTATGTCTGCCAACTAAGCAAAAAGTGCCTTCTTTTTAATATTATGCATTTCGCACTCTCAAAGTTTGTTCCTAACTTTTGCTTGCTAATAAAAACTCAATTCAGTCGCCATTCACCCAGGATTCTCTCCTGTGGTCATTTATAAAATTTACATCTTGCCATCAAAGCAGATAATCCATTGTTAAAAATAACAATAATAATATAAACTTTTCGTACTCCCATTTCATCCTTCTGTCACATGGATTCTCCAGAACTTATTTTTAGAACTTGCTCAGAGAATTTTCAAGTAATTTTTTTTTGCCTATCAATAAAATCCATGGCTTGATTCTTAGATTTTCATTTCTGACTTTAATTCTGGGGAACGTATAGTATATCTTGTCAGTGTAGTTTGAGATATATATTGGCTAAACTAAAAGAGCATTAAAATTTCACATCAAGGCACACGAATCTTACATCCGAAAAGGAAAAATTAATGAGTCTTCTAATCATAGTTGGAAATTTAATCACAATTTTGACTTGAAAAATTTTTCAAAAGGTTTTTTCAGTCAGCATACTTTGAGATATACATGTGCCAAACAAAGTTTCATGTCAAGGAATACGAATCTTGCATCCGAATTAAAGGCAAAATTAAAGAGTTCTAATGATCGTTGAAAACTTAACCATAATGTTGACTTTGGTTTTCTTGCTTTTCACATTTACAAAGATTTCTTTTAGTATTTAGCTAATGACCTAAGTCCAATCCAGTTCTACCTAATACTTTTAAAATTGCATTAACTTAATTTTTCAGTTACATTGCTATTTTTGTTGACAGATGGTATTACCTTCTCGTTCACATTACTTCTGTAGGGTATAAAGAACCACTGTGTCCGCTGCCCGCCAGTCTTGCAGATTTCTTTGCTGTTGATAAAGAGGGACTTGTATTGGTTTGCCCTAAAAATTGATTGAGTTTTTGAATAAATGTATGCCAAACAAAAGATTACTGCTTTGCTAATTTTATATTTTGCTTCTGCTTTATGCTAAGAGGTTGCAAGCAGTTTGGAGTGTTCAAATTATGTTCTATATTTTATTCACTCTGTCTTGTTTGATAATGAAGCTTATATAGCTATAGGTATGTCGAGGCGTGGTTGCGCTTGATCTGTTGTTGCTCTCTGTTCAGTATCTTTGGAGATGGTCATTGGATTCGATTGTGGGTCTGCTAAGATAAATACCATACCACTACTGCAAACAGTTGCAAAAGAGTCTCGTGCAGAAATTTCAGATTTTTTAATTGTTTCCTGGTTTGATGTTCAAGGTTTCAATTTTATTGGCTCTTGGGATCGCTATACAAAAAAGGAGAATATTTTGAATTAAAGAGTCTTGAATATTTTGTTTTCAAAATATGCATTTCAGAAATAATGTGAACTTCAGTAAAAAAAATATTATATGTACTGATTAAAAGGCCAATGACCAAAAAACCATTTTTTCTATTTGCCAATTTGTACAGCTCAAATTCGATTTATTTTGGTGATGAATATACACAGAAGATACACCCAATGTCTTCAATTTCAAATGGTGGTGTCTTGATTATTTGCTCTCTCAAAATGTTATGGAAGGTGACAAAAATGTTGTAGTGTTTCCTCACTATTTCAAAATTATTAACAAAAGGCAAAGTTCATTGTCTCGCCATGGCATTGTACATTGTCATGCACATACCAGCAGTCTAAGCTCAAGAGTTTCCTTTTGTTAAGTTGATATTCAGTTCTTATGTATGTTATGTTTCATTACTTTGATAATCAAATAAACAACAGCTTGCATTAAAACTTAATTTATTATGAATGACTTTAGAATAAATCTCATTTATAACAACAATATTACATGTCTTCAAAAGTAGCATTCAGTTATCGCTATTAAATCGAGGATTTATGCTTTGGTCTTTAAGAATGAATAATACAGAGTTCTACTTCAAATACAGGAAATCTTTTACATCTATATATATATATATATATATTTGATTGGAAAATTTATACAGATTCTGAAACATTTATGGAAGGGCTGTCACGTCTTAAAAACTGTTACTATATTCTTCTTAAAGGTAAGAGTACGCTTTTCACAAAATGAAACGAATGACAATATATTTCACTTTTATATTGAAGTCCTAAAATTGATGTATTTTACAATTAACTTGAATGCATATCCATAATACTAGGTGGAGAGCTATCATATGGTGAACTATGGGGTGGAGGCAGTGATGGATGTGACATCATTATCGGATGGCCCGGCATCAACATTGCTTGCGAATGCACTGGTGATCGCAGTTGTGAATAACCAGCCATATGACCGATTGCCATATTCTCTGGACATGACAAATTCTGTAGACCTAAAAAAAAAAAAAAAATCAGTAAAAATTAGTGATGAATTCAATTTTAATGCCAGCTGCTCTTTAGTTTACTAGTATGCACATAGGTATCTCAAAATTTAATCCTTTTCTTATTAACAAATTAAAGGTAGAGCTAATTTAATTTGCTTTTTAGGAAAAATTTTCATGTCTGATGATGTCCTAAGGATGGATGAACCAGACATTAGTTTCTCTAGTTCTGCCCAGGAGATGATCCTTGATGAATGCCACAATGCATGCGTGCAAGTGTTGGATGATGAAGCTGTAGGAGGACAGCAGTGAAACATGTAGTGAATTTGCTAGTTGTTCCCATGCTGAGGAAACAGAGTTTACCGACACCGCATATTTTTCAAGGATCAAGTTGGTCTCAAACTCAAATTGGTCAGAATCCCAAAACTGTCAGGTAAATGTAAAATTGATAGGTCCAAGAGGGCCATATTGAATGTCCTTTAGTTGACAGACATGTTGTCCTGTCGAGCTTGTGGGTTTGTACATTCGCATTACTTACTTCAAGTCGAGAACTCAGCTTGTGTGCAGGATGACAAATGTCCAATAGACAGTGCGACGATGTCTGCAGCACCGTGGGACTGTCAGCATGATGACTATTGTTATGGCTTTGACACTGCAACAGAGACAGGTATAGCAAATGATGATACTGGACATAGGAGTGGCACCATGTCCTCTTTTCAGGTGAATCCTAATTCTGTGTACAGCATTGGTGGTGGATATGTGCATGCACTGAGGAGAATGAACGTTGTCAGACTGCATTCATCATCATACGGTATCTGGTGTGCTGGTATGAAGTGCCAGTGATGACACATCCCATACTTGTTCACATAGCCAGTACAATAAAGTGAACTGATGCCATTGCATTTACGACATGCTAAGGTCTGTGGCTGTGCCCTGTCTTCAAGACGTGCACAACACCATCTTTCAACGAGATAATGCTCGATCGCATGTTGCTTATCTCAACTTTCCTCGATGCAGAGTCTGTTCGACTATTGCCTTTGCCATCATGCCGTGCAGATCTCTTGAGATGCCGAGAATGCTTGTGGGTTGCTGAGAAACAGGTATGTCATCACTTGACAGCCATTATGATTGATGAACTCTGGCATAGAATTGAAGTCACATGGAATGAAGTACCTGCATCTGTTGTGTAAATTCAATTCCACTCGATGCCCAGCCAGGTTATAACCATTCTTACTGCCAGAGGTGACAGCTCTGTACTGAATTCTAAATGCCATGTACCCCATACCAACTGGAAACTTAATCATGTCTTTTGCCCATTATACTGTATATGTATAGTAAGTAAGATTCTGCAATTTGCTTTCCTTCCTGGGATAGCAGTTTAGCAGATTATTTATTATACATATTCAGTATAAAGGAGGAAGACCTGAATAAGTTTCAAGATGATATGGGTACATGGTATTTAGAATTCAGTACAGAGCTGCCACCTCTGGCTGTAAGAATGACTGTAACCTGTCTGAGCATCGAGTAGAATTGAATTTACACAACAAATGCAGGTACTTCATTTCATGTCAGAGTTCATCAATCGTAATGGCTGTCAAGTGATGACATACCAGTTTCGTTTCTCGGCAACCCCAGAGCATTCTCAGCATCTCAAGAGATCTGCACAATGTGCTGGCAAAGGCAGTAATCAAAGAGACTCTGCATCGAGGACAAGCAACATGTGATCGAGTATTATCTTGTTGAAAGACTGTGTTGTGCACATCTTAGCACATCGTAAATGCAATGCATCAATTCACTTTATTGTACTGTCTATGTGAACAAGTATGGGATATCTAATCAACAGCACCTCAGATACTGGCGATGATTTGTTCTCGTCAGTGCCTGCACTCCCAAATGATTGTGATGTTGTATGCAGAACTGGGATTCATTTGAAAAAGTGAGGTGGTGCTACGCGCATGCCCAGCCTGTGGTGCTGCAGACATCATACTGTCCATCCGGACGCTTATCGTCCTGCACATAAGTTCTTGACTCTGACGATCCCACAAGGTTGAGAAGATGACATGCCCATTGGTAACCCTGGGCCACTGATATTCTGTATGGCCCCTTTTGGATGTGTATCAATTCCATATTTGCCTCATAGCAATCATTTGTATAGCTTCTAAAAATAAATCTTTCTCATCCAAATTTTGACTGTTGTATCTATTTCTAATATAGACATAGCATAAAATGAAAGATATAAACAAAGGTTGCTCCAATTTGGTAATTTCTGGACAATTAAGGAAGCCCATGCTGCACCCTACCTCTGCTACACTGTGAAAGTACCTTACTCTGAGTGGCAGGACAAGTTAAAATTGTTAATCAACTGTGGGAATGGTTCAGAGAGAGTTATGCGAGGAGGAATTTCTCAATATCTGTGTATTCTCCTTCAGCTACAGGTTGTTCAAAAAAGTAATTTCGCTTTTTCCCAACATAGGGCTTAACTGTATTTTTTCATAGTAAACATCACACATAAGCCTCATAATCATTATATATTTTGACAGCTAATAGAGTTTGTAAAAAAGTTAGATTGATTCTACACAGTAGTTTTTGGGTGGTGCCCCATCAAATATGAGAAGTGAAAAGCAGCATTTTCAGCATATATTACTTTACTATTGAAAAGGTAAAAACGCTGTTCAAGGGGGAAAAAAATCTGATGTATATGGAGAAGATGTGTTAACAGAATGCCTGAAAAACTGGTTTGCCGTATTTCCATCTGGCAGTTTTGATCTCGAAGATGCACAACATCCAGTTGAAGCTGTTGAAGACATAACAAAGGCATTAATTGATGCAAATTGGTGAATAACGACTTGTGAGATTGTCGAGAGATTAAATTTATTGAATTCAACAGTTCATGGTCAATTGAACCTAGGCTTGAAATGCCTAGGTTTAATCTCAGAGCTCAACACGAAGATTCTTCATATTCTTAAGCTCTCCATCGGCTTCAACTGACCATCCAGAATGTGATGCATCTTCCAGATCAAAATTGCCAGATGAAAATTTTGCAAATCAGTTTTGGCACTGGCATTCTGTCAATGCATATTTTTACCTTTTCGATGGTAAACTGTGCCCAAAATGCTGCTTTTTACTTTCCATATTTGAAAGGGCACCAACCAAAAACTACTAGAATCAATCTAACTTTTTCACAAACTCTATTAGCTGCCAAAATATAGAATGATTATGCGGCTTATGTGTGAAGTTGGCTGTGAAAAAATACAATTAAGCCCTCTGTTTGGAAGAAACAAAATTACTTTCCGAACAACCCAATATTTACAGCTGTGTGTCGGTATTATTTTACATTATTCTGTAATAAACTGCTAATTTTCTCTTTCTCATCCAGAGTGATTATTTAAGCATGAACCCATAACTTCCAACAGTATTTTATTCTGTAATAGGCATTTTAACAGAAAATTTCCATTAAAATGCATAAAGTGCACATGTATTTTAGATACAACTTCTTCCCCATCCCCTTTATTTTAAAAGATCTGGGTATTGTAGCTTCAAAACTTTGTTAAAGCTGTGCACTTGAAGCGTCTGATACGAATGAGTTATTCTTAAATAATACTGTGTGTGCTGAAGAGTGCTTTGAGTTTTAATTAATAAACTAGCGGGGCAAGCCCGCCAGCTGAGCGGGCTGAAGCCCGCTTATCATTGTTCGTTTTTAAAAGATATCCTATGTTAAATTTGGCCGGTATTGAAAAGTTGAACCGAACTACCATATTTTAGCGGCATTCCGCGGGCTTCCCCCGCTTTTTTCACCTATGCATCCAGAAGTTACCGCATACACTATACATATGCGGAAAATCACGAAAACACCCATGCTTCCAGCCCTTTCGCGGGTATTCGAAATTTGGACCGAAATACCAGTGTTCAGCGCTTTTGGGCGGGAGCCCGCCCAAAACAGTGTTCACGTGTGCATGCAAAAGATACTGCGTACACCGTACACATGCGTAAAATCACGAAAACACCCCTCCAGCCAGCCCGCTGCCGATTCGAAAGTTGGACCGAAATACAATTTTTCAGCGATTTTGCGCGTGCTGTGCCCGCTTTATTCACGTATGCATGCTGAAGATGGTGCATAAACGATACACATGCGTAAAATCACGAAAACAAACATGGAGCCTGCCTGTTCGCCGGTATTCGAAAGTTGGACCGAATTACCAGTGTTATGTGGCTTTGCGCGGGCTCTGCCCGCTTTATTCACATATACACCCAGAAGATACTCCATACACTATACACATGCGTAAAATCACGAAAACACCCATGGAGCCAGCCAGTTCGTCGGGATTCGAAATTACCGCATTACCAGAACATTACCAGTATTCTGTGCCCGCTTTATTCACGTATGCATCCATGAGATACTTTATAAACGATACACATGCGAACAATCACGAAAACACCCATGCAGCCAGCCCGCTCGCCGAGATTCGAAAGTTTGAGCGAACTACCAGTGTTCAGCGGTTTTACCCGGTATCCGCGCGCTGTATTCACGTATGCGACCAAATTTTATGTACAGTACCCCGGAATTCGAAAGTTGGACCGAACTACCAGTGTTCTGTAGTTTTGCGCGGGCTGCTCCCGCTTTATTCAAGTATGCATGCAGAAGATACCGCATACACGTTACACATGCGAAAAATCCCGAAAACACACATTGAGCCAACACGGTCGCTTGGATTCGAAAGTTGGACCGAACTACCAGTAATCAGAGGTTTTGAGCGAATTTCGGCCGCTTTATTCACTTATGCATCCAGAAGATGCTGCGTACACGAGGCACATGCGTAAAATCACGCAAACACCCATGGACCCAGCCCGTTCGCCGGGATTCGAAATTAGGACCGAACTACCAGAGTTCAGCTTTATTCATTTATGCATCCAGAAGACACTGCATACACAACAGATATGCGTAAAATCACAAAAAACATGAGTGTAGCCTGCCTGCTCACCGGGATTCGAAAGTTACCGTATACCATCTCAAA